GCTAAGCAACGAGGAGGAGAATGCAGTACCCACACACACCCACCTTGACCTTGGGCGGACCAGCTGTGAGGAGACTAGCTGGACGGATCACGTTTTCTATGAAGACATCCGACTAAGTCGATTGGTATTTAGTGTTCATTAAATATATACACACATTTACATATTCGACGACATATCTTCACACCGATAGGACATCGTGTAAGTTATATAAATTTTTATAAGTGCCTTACTTGTTTTAATATATACTGACGTAATATAATTTCCAGTATTTATTTCTTACTTGTTCAGTTATTGATACTTTAATTATTTTAACTACAATTTTTATCAATTTCCTGTGAATGGATGGACAAGGTTATTTCTTTGGTTTGTATCTAAATAATTTTTCAAACCTTAGACATAGAAAATTTGGACATTTTCTTTTGATCCCAGGGAGGATAATAATGTTCATAATTTTCAAACTGCATATTTTAATGATGTCATAGACACATCTTCTCAAACTAAAAATATGATAGTTCTACAGTAAAGTATCACAGACTGTAAATTTTCAGCCATGCCGTGTAGAACCCTTCACAACTCGGTACCATTGCTCTCCACAAAAATTAATGTTTAGTTGAAAGAGTCTAAAGCACCACACACTCATTCATCTAGCGTAATTACAGCAGCAAAAGTTGTACATTGCTAAGAAGGTGCGTTCTTAAACACGAAGTAGGCGAAGATTATTTCTGCCATGTTATTCCGTGATTTGCTTACCCAAGTTAACGATTTCCACTATTGTGTTGATATTGGCAGTAGTGTTTGTGTTTTAAATCAGAATCATCCAATTTTGCCATTGTACATGAGATACTAGCCTGTAAGACACTTAAGTCTAGGACCCAAGTAGGTGAAGAACCTATGGTTCCAGAGTCTGTAGCTTTGTGTTTACACATATGTTTGTAACATGGTTAGGCTTATGTATAGGATGTTTATCTGCGAGTTTAGTGTAGTCCTTGCGGAGCTCGGAGGGTAGGTGACCGAGCGATGTAATGGCCCTTGTTTCATAAACAGAAGAATTATATAAATGGGTTAATTACATTTGATATATATACTGATTCACCCCCTGTAACTTTCCACTAGCTATGAGGTGACATGTTCAGTGCACGTGATAGGGTGTGCCTACGGGAAGCTGCGTCATATTATGCTGAGTTAAGGCATTTAGTAGCCGGCTCCCTGGCCACCCAAAGCAGGCAGTAGGTTGATACCCTTGACTAGAGGAAGATGTTATTTGAGAGCCGTCCTGGATGGCTCCGTTCTCCCTCGATGGGTCACTACTCATAGAAGTCACATTCATAATCTCACATCGAAAGGACGTGATTGAACAGTCTATTTACATAGCCGCCGTCCTCTCCCTTCACACTCATAAATAGTGGAAGTTACGGTTGATTTACACTCAGGGATTTTATAATCGATAGTTTTTCAATAAAAGAAGAAACAGACAATTGGATTTCGCTACTCTTACCCAATATAAAAAATGTTTAGTCCCATATACCTTATGACTAGAATACCCCTCCTTCCTCCCGACTCGCATCCCTCTTCTCACAAGTATATACAAAAAAAGAGTAAAAGTAGAAGTACATAAAAGGAAATAAGTAAAGAATTAAGAATTAAGAAAAAATAAATAAAGAAATGAGGTAAAACGTTTATTACACCCATGCTGGGGTAGAAAACTTGACCTACGTGACCCTGAATCAACCTGGCAGGCAACTAGCCTACAGGGGCTGCCGGTGGTAGAGCAGTAACGCTCTTGCCTCGCAAGCGAGATGTCACTGGTTTGATTCCCGGGCCAGTGGAAAGTTGTTCGGACACACTTCCTAGCCCCCCTTGGTCCCTGTTCACCTAGCAGTAAAGTAGGTACCTGTTGTAAATCGAAAAGTTGCGAATTCGTATTCAGGGAAAGTTGTTGGAGCTTCCAATACCTTGCTGACAAAAACCTATGACTCTTCAGGTTTCTACGCCCTTGACCAAAAAAATATGACCCTTCAGGCTTCTATGCCCTTAACTCATGAGACATAAAGGCAAGCATGAACTTAGCATGCTTCCCGGTTGGGCGCTGTAGGCGCTTCACCTTGCACAGGATGTAGAGGGGGAGGGGGGGTGCAAAAAAATAAAAAAATAAAAAAATAAAAAAATCTAGCCTACAAGGGGCTCCTTGTGATGGGGACAGTGTTATATTTGACATACATCAAATATAGATATCACCTCTTATCATAACCATTTATATCCACTCCCTTATTATACAAATATTCCACATTAAGTTTTCTCCTTCTGGTAGTCCTCGCATACAGTACACAATGCTGACATCAAATTACTAACCTGAGCAAACCCATCATCTGGCCACTGTTGCAACACTGCCTCAAAGACTTCCTTGGCAGCTGATCCCTGATTCATGAGAAGAAATGTGACGCCCATCTTGTTCCTCAGCTTCACATCATCTGGAAACCGCTGAAGAAGACGCTGCTGTACCCTCACTGCTTTGCCAAAAAAGCCTGTGATATGTGTGGGAGTACATAAAGTAAATCTAATTACCAGTAGTACATTACATATGATGATTCACCCTATTTTTGTTCTTATGGAACATTTAACTCCACGTAATTCAATGTGCACATAGAAGCACACAAATAAAAAATATTAAATTTATATACAATTTTAAATGTTATAATGATAAAACTAGATGTAAGATGAACTGGTTCTGTACAGTAATTTGATGAAAGGCCATATTAAATCTTTTTATTACAATCAACAATTGAATATTATTTATCAATTCATGAATTAAATTAATCTAACCTCAACACACTGAAAGAATATTGATCCATATTGAAATTTAACATGATGAACAAACCTCTGAATATCATGCGATCAATGCAATTCTCGGCAGCCATACGCACAAGTGGCAGAGGCACCAAGTTGGAATCTTCATCGGCAAGGTCAAGCACTCCTCGGTAGGTTACTATGGCTTGCTCCAACCTCGAATTAGATCGTTCCAATTCTCCTAGCCGGTCCAAAGACCTGGCACGGCCATACATGGCTCTAGCCGATTTAGGGTTGTGATGAAGGATAGCCCCAAAGCTATTGAGGGCTTCCCCTGGGTTCTATGCAGGCAGAGCAAACAGGCAGGATAGTCAGGCTAGGTGTGGAGGTAGGTCGTGGTAAAGGTTGAAGGTGAAGGAAAAGAGTGATGAAAGGAACAAAAGAAAAAAACTACACCAAGGAGATTACAGTAAAGGGATGAGGTTAATTTTAGACAGAAGATATTAAAAATGAATCAATAAGATTGGTGTTGATGCAGTAGAGGAAAAGAAATGAACTTATAACTAAGTTAATTATTAAAGATTTAGGGATGGCATTAAGGAGACTGGAAAAAGCGGCAGACAAAGAAACTGAGGTTCAAAACGTCACGAAGAACACGGAAAGAGCAAATAAAAAAAAATGATTTCACATATTAAAAGCAAACTACTAATCCCAACTTAAAAAAAAGCAAAAAAAAAACATAAAATAACAAAATTTAAAAAAAATAAAAATAAGTTTATCTGGTCAATGACAAAGTAAGACACTGAACCTATAGTTTCTAGTTGCATTACAACAGCTCTATTAGTAATTAAGACTACTATGCCTTGGCTGTTGCACTAAACATTCACAGTCAGAAGGTATGAAATAATCTGGTAATACACTAAGGCCTAATGTAAAAGAAAATTTGAAACAAAATATTTTTCTTGTATATCATTATCCATCACTGTTGTAGTTACACAGAAAAATTACGTAGATTTCCAAAGACTAACCACGAATTCGTGGCATATCTACAGTTATCCCTTAAACAAAAAACACATTATCTCACAAATTGAAAAAGTAAAATTGTTGAAAGGCACAATTCTAAGACTTCCTCAACCATGCATTATTCAAGTTTTGATATCAATGACATGAACACGGATATGTACACCCATACTTTGTCATTCTTTCTTTTAATGAAAAAAGAAAATTGCTCCAGCCACTGAAATTAATATACAACCCACAAATAACAGAGAATATGTCAGAGAATGAGTGTTTTTAACATTTCAACTACAGAAAATAAATGTTCTCCCACAACATGAAAAAGGACGGAACCAAAAAATTTACATGCAAGAGAGGGACAAAACCAAAAGAGATCAGAGAAACTTACAATAGAATCGCGTGTCACATACGTCTCATTTGAGCTCTGTTACAGCACCACTACAGCTATGTATCCCTGCACTACTTACTAAAATCTATGGCTAAAAATTAGCACTTTCTCCACCTTCTGGAAAATTTCCCCAGTGGCAGTAATTACTGAGATAGTTTTGTGAAATACTTTTGGACAAAACGTTTCATATTGGTTTAAAAATTCTACTGATTCTTTCTCGGGAGAAATGAAAGATAAATTTTAACAATTTAATAAAGTCAATAAATTTGAATGATTTATGATATAAGTCTGATGCCACACTGTCACTGTACCGTCATCAGCACACACAATACTTCAATGTGTTGTGGCAGCGATTTAACACTTAGTCAAATATTTTGCACTGAACAAGTATTACTTAGTTTATCTGAAGTGCATCCTTCAGAACCACTTACAATAAACAACTAAGATTACTTTCACTTGTATATAAAGGATTTTTAAGCATACTTCTTTGAAAATATTTAATTCATAGAGAGGCACAATTTTTATTTAAAAACACGAGCTTTAATAAGTGTTAACCCAACTTTGCAGAAGGGTTCCGAGTGTAGGTATGGATTGACTGCACTAATTTCTAGATAGCGACTAAAGAATTTGCTGTCTAAATTTTTAATTAATAAACAAAGGGGCTTAATTCCCCAAAAAATTGCCACAAACGTGCATAGGTGTCCCCCTTACATGAACCAGAGAAGAGATTAGGATATCAACACAAAGGAGATTTATAAAAGGACAGAAGAGGGATAGTAGAGGGAGGAGGTTGAGTTTAGGGACCCTAGAAAGATAAAAAGTACCATTTTAGAAATATTTGAGCAATGATGTACTGTAGATACAATTACAAAAATTACTATAGCAGGGTATCTTTGTTCTCCCTTCAAAATACTATGACTAAGGAATAAAAGAAATTCAATGGAGTACTGTACTCTGAACAACCTCAGACTGTTTCCTTCATGCAGGAGGCTTTGTACAATGTTCTAGTCTTATTAGTAAAGAAATACACATACACACTATTACTCTAGCAATGATAACCCTTTGACTGTGGCGAGTACATAACCCAGCTCTTGTGTGGCAGATTATCACAATTGCTGGTTAATAAGCACTTATATCCTAACCACAAATAAAGAGTACACACGCAAAAAACATCAAAATGGGGAGTCTGGAGAAGTTGAGAACGCAATCTCCGTTTTACAATACTACAGTACTGTGGAAAGCTGTGTTTATTTATTTTGATATCACTTATACTGGTCTTTTCCATGAACACTAACCCAGGTAAAAGTGAGGGCAACCTGTACAATATTGTTTTTGTTTTTAAATTGGCCATTGAGCTTTTCTTGCTTCTATTTAACCAATAAAATAGTTTATATCAGTACAGTAATGGTGTTAGCACATATCAATCTATAATGATATTTATTTTGTACAACCAAATATGCCAGTAGTACTTCATACAGTACCTCCCACTCTATATTGTGGGCTGGTAAACCAAGAGAAGGGATAAATGACTGATCTAATTTATTGCAACACATGGTGGCTGCCACTAGACAACATTAACACTAATATTTACATTCTAATACCTTGTTTAAACATTTTGAAAGTAGGAATCCTTCTATGTACCAACCACAGTGCATGGTTAGGATATGAGACCATATATTATGTAACAACCATACTCCAAGGGTTAATAAAGATGATAATGACAAAATGAATGATGCAATTAATATTGTATACTGCATGTGGAACAAGTTGTTATGGATTCATGGCAAGAAAAATGGAGGACTACATCATTAAATCTCATTTTATAGTCGATGGGAGGAAGAAAGTGACCCATGAGATACCTTTGCTAGTAGATCCCCAGTCAGTGCCTGCCATGGTCAAGGGGTTTAAATGGTCAATTAACTGATTATACCGTGTGATGGATTAGCTTATGCCTCGGTAAACTATGATTTCAATAATACTGAGAATTCATAAAAAAAAAGAAAAAAGTCTGAAATTTTTTTTTGAAGACCACATTGCATGATCAGATTCAGTCGTCATAATTTGGTTATAAAGTGAAAAGTTCTCTTCTGAAGGTATGAATAAAGATCACTGAGCTCCCTATTAGTTTTTTGTATTCTAAAGATAAAACCTAATAGTTTAAACCTGAAAAAAATTATACTGTTAATCAATCTGGAGACTGACTAAAGGAAATAACACTGAGAAGGTTGAACTGTACATCACATTTCCTTGCAAGTGATTTAGGATCTTGGAATTTCAGCCTGATGAAGCTAAATCCTTCTTAGTCTTTGAAGTAACCACCAAACTAAAAAAATTAAAGCATTTCTGTTACTAATCCACTGACTATGACAGGCACAGGCAGGGATTGTTCTAATGCAAGTCTCTCACAGATCATTCACTCATAACCTGTAGGCTATACAGTATCCTTTTATTGAATACACAAACTATTCCTTACTAACTCTGATTCTCTATATCTGATAAATCACAAGTGAGTTCACATTCTGGAGCCACCCCTGATCATTCTTGTCCACTAAATTCACTGCCCTTCAAATGCATATGTCTCCAGCCTCTAAATACAGTACATCTTTCACAGGTAATTACACACTCCACAATACACTAATGTACTTTATCAACTCACTCACTACCCTATTCACATATAAAAACATTCATCTTCAATGGTTATACTGTACTCAGCTACCCATCCTCTCCAGCCAAAAAACATTTTTCTTTACCTTATACAACACTTCACTGTGAATCTCACTTCTGAGAGAGTAGTGAAGACAGTGGAATCTACAGACTGTCTTATTCCTACATGACTTCTTTTCCCCTCTAAACCCATTTTATCCAGCCCTATTCTCTCTTTAATGTTTTTCATTATCAAACAATAACAGTTACCTTACAGTACCTTTTGACAACTCAATACAAGTGATGGCATTCATTTCTTTCTTTAATATTCTTTTTATACTCCAGAATCTGCCTGCCATCAAGTCTTCTTTATATGTTTTGTTTTTTTTACTCAAACATCACTATTATGGGGCTATGACAAAATCTAAACCATTGTAACTAAATTTCTGATCTCTGGTAGCTAAACTTGTCAACTTAACATATTTATACTGTACTCTGCCCATACTACAAAACTATTTCATCGTTGATGTCTTCTCCCATAAACAAGAATTGTAATCAGTTATTCCCGTCAATCCTTTGGTATATCCCATTTATCATCATGATGAATAGCCAACACAGCCTATTTAAAACAATTTCTCAGCTATACATTATATTTCCAAGGGCAATATATTATTCTTGTTAAGTATATCAGAGGAGGCAAGCAATGCAGTATTATTATACACACTGTACTGGTATTACAAGGCATTAAAAATCTATGTACATTACTATGTACAAATGATATGTACTGTAGTATCTTTTTCACATAATTTTAATGGAGGTAATTTTTATCCATCCACAGATGAAGTGACAAGACAAAGTGCAAGTGCATCAGCAGGGGAGGGAACTAAACCTCTTAGAATGCATTATGAGCCACAACCAAGGCTGATCACCTCATTGTATCATGGGAAATATTATATCAGGTAAAGACTGATCATACATACACAGAGACAAACTAATTCATGCAGCATCTTTACCAATGATTTGCATCAAAGAAAGTGCACTCAACACTAAAAGGTGAGGAAATTGTATTTGAGTAAGATTTTGCAAACGAGCATCACCTCAAGAGGAGTTTCTGGAGAGAATGAAACATTAGATAGTGTTTCCACATCATAAGTTGAAGGAAGAGAATACAGTATGCAAGAATCAAAACTAACTTTTACAGCTGCCTGCCCATATGGGATTTTTCTTGCCAAAACATATATCACTTTTTGCCTGATCACTTAACTATAATTTTCTTATAAGATTTTTTTTTGGATTTCTTCAGTTTCTTTCAGCAACATTTGCTTCTATTAATTTCTGAAATCACAGGTATAGTATTTCTGATTCAGATTTTCTCTTTTTAGTACAATTCAGGAATTAAATTTGCTTGGTCCATGAGGCACAAAGTAAATAATGTATTTTTGCCCACTCCTCTTAACTACCCAGGGCAGGGGAACAGTGGTTAGCTTTGAGAACTGACATGGAATAAAAAGAACAAGTTTATAGGAATGTGAGATGTGCCGTTACTTCAGTGTTTGGAGGCAAATCTTCCAAGGTCTTAGTTATATTTACTTCAGTCAAATGCTTGAACATAATTACAGGTACCTTTTGATGAAATATAGAATTGTAAGTATGGTATTCGAAGTAAAACTTTGGGCACTGTGGTCTTCTATTCTGTAGATTTACCTACATTCTAAGATCCTTTACATACTGCTTATTCCCTCTTACAAGTGCCTCATTTGTTGAGATCTAACCTCACATCACTATATACTGTATTATACCGTTATAGTATTCATCAAACCTTATCAATCATGCTCTTCACAATTTTAGCCTTATGTTGGACCTAGTTATACAGCACTGTGCAACAAGTATGGGTTTTACAATGTCAATATCATAGGCTCTTAACAACTCCATGAAGAAGTGTAGTAAATAAAAGTAGGTCCCTAAGTATATCTCAACCTTAACAGACTATAGAGCACCTGCTCTTTATTGCCTCATACCAAGTATCAAAATTCTAACAATGTTCTCCCGATCTCTATCTTTGTGCACCATGGTCCATATCCGACTAGAACCAAACCAGTTACATTAACTTTCATTTATACCCATATACTGTATACAGTATATCAAATGAGTTCAACATCCTTTGTATGACCAATTGTCAGAACATCTATTCACAATTATAAAAAAATTTTCTAACATATAGTATACCTGTATCTCCTGATGTTCATTATCTGATGTTACTAAAGAAACACTATCTCCCTCCGAGATCTATTACTATTGATACATTACAAAATTTTAACTTCCTTCAAATAAGCTATACTCTACCTATATATTATAAAGAATTATCAACTCACCTGAGTTATTAATTTTTCGGCAGCATCAAGCTCCTCACGAAGATTACTGTCAATTTCACTTGTAATGTCCGCCTTCTCATACACAGGTGGTTGCGTATCTTCTAAAACTTCCTTCAATGGTTCACTAGATTCCTGTAGAGGTTCAATGTGAATGGGATCAGGAATTACTTCATCTACAGGAATTAGCTCCTCCCCTTCTGCTGGAGCAGGGGGGAAGACAGCTTCAACTTCTTCAGCAGGGGGGAAAACATAAGTGCGCTCTTCCTCGGGTGCATCATCAGGAATAATCTGCGCTTCAATATCTGAGAGCACATCCTCTGGAACACCCCCAGATTCTGCAGGAGCTACTGGAGAGTCAAGGTCTTGTACAACTTCTTCTTCCTCCAACTGTTCTACTACAGTATTAGCTTCTACAGAATCATGATCAGGACTACCTTCTAACTGAGGCTCACTAGTAGATTGTGGCTCTGACTCAGCAACTAGTGCCTCAGGCTCAGACTTACCAATAGCATCTGGTTCAGGCTCTGGCTCACCAACAACTTGTGGCTCAGGCTCTAGCTCTTCAGTAGCTAAAGACTCAGCCACAGGTGTGTCAGCAGCCAGTGTCTGAGAACCCTCCTTTAAATCACTATCAGCTATCACAACCTCAGGCTCCTGCTCAGCTTCTGGTGCAGGTATCTCTTCATCTTTTGATTGAGGAGGTCCAGGGTAGGAGATGTGCTGGATAAAAATGCAAATTCTGTTAATTATAGGAACCACTACTAGAGCAAAGGTTTATAGCTCTTTGACAGAAACACAAACTGCAGGCATTATATGACATATAGTAAAACTAAATTGCTAAGCTAGGAGTTGTTATTGTGGTTTAAATTGCAATTAAAACCATGCAAAATTAAATAACAAAATTCTTAAATTTTCAAAAATTAAGATAATTTACAGTTACAAGTACTGTATGTAAAATCAAAACCAAAAATCATGAAAAGTAGAAAAAAATGGCACAGAATCTCTTTGTAAAAACTAAAAACATTGCCAAAATAACATATCATATTTTTGTCAGTGTAAAACACGTATTAGCAAATCATTCACAGAACTACCCATGCACAGCTAAAGATTTATGTGCTCCCAAGAAAGTGCCAATAGCATAAACAAAATACAGTATAGACATGCTGACAACATAAGTAGCAGAAAATCAACTCAAGAGGCAATAACAGCTTCATATGGATGTAAAAACTTCATGTATTGTAATAAACTGAAGAACAAATTAGTATTTTGTGTACAGTATACTGTACCATTTCCCATATTCCAGCACAGGGCATCACCTGCACTACAGTATATTTTCTGAATATTCTGGTCATGACCTTGTCTACACCTTCAAGTGCATCAATACAAGAATAACATTTGTAATAATTTTTCAGGAATTATGCGTGATAATGAAGTAGATGTGTGAGCTAGGTGCAGTAATGGTTATTCAAGCACCACTTTCTTAATCAGCCTCATTCTACTTGACTGTGTTTAAGTCAGGTAGTGGACAAAATGTAACCTGTGATAAAACTGGGACCAATTCAATTCAATCTGACTCTTTCTGTTTTTGTCATCCACAATTATCAATAGCTTGGCAATCAAATCCAACATAACTTTCACAAATGCTCAACTTGCGACTTGTTCACTAGCGTAGCTAGAGGGCAGTCCGGGGCGGCACTTTTGGGTCTGCTCATCACCCATATCTGCAGCTACTGGAGACGTTAATCCATCCCTTTGTATTGGCGTTTTTGCTTTTTGTTTTACTGTTACTTATAAAGTTTAAGTATGTTTGGTGTGTATTTAAAGCATACTATATTTGAGTATGTGAAAGTACAGTAATATTATAAAGGTACACAAACTATTTAATATATATATATATATATATATATATATATATATATATATATATATATATATATATATATATATATATATATATATATATATATATATATATATATATATATATATATATATATATATATATATATATATATATATATATATATATATATATAGTGAGTCACTGTGCAATATGTATTTTTGTGGGGGGCACGGGAGGCAAACTCAAGGGCCGCCCCGGGCGGCACTCTAGCTACGCCACTGGACTTGTTTCATAGATGTATTTAGGACAGTGTGTTGTACAGGTACTTTTCAAAAAAATTTTGGTTCAATTTTGGGTCCGATGTACAGTATATGTTATTTGTACCTTACTCAAAGATAAGACTACACAATAAATTCCAGAATTTTTGGAGTAGGTTCGTACCTATTGTACTTAGCTCCAAGTTTGTGCAAAGTGACACTGTCCATATACACTAACTTTGGGCATACAGTGGTAAAGTACTACTGCCTGGGAAGATATTGGAAGCATAATGTGTTGTCTAATTGTAGACTCTGCTGCCATATGGCTTCACAAAAAATGTGACCAAGTCCCAAGTTACTGATCTGACTTTCTGCCCCATTTGCACACAATTGCAGGGTCTCAATTGTTTCTCTTACTTTGACAACACAACACACATAATGTATATCGTTTCTCAATCTTTATTTATTTTTTTCGTTTTTGTATTTATTTATGGTTATATTATTTTTATTATTTTATTTTTATTTTTATTTGATTTTTATTTTTATTTTATTATTAATTGTTATTAATTATTATAATAATAATAATAATAGTTATTATTATTATTATTACTATTATATTTAACCCCCCAGGCCCTGATGTGGGTCAGTGACCTGTGCCCGGGTGGGCTAATCCCCGTAAAAAAAAAAAGAGTTATCATGGATGACAATAAGGTACATATGCATCAACCCTTGAAGCTAGAAAAAAGTAAAAAAATAAATACCATACTGTGTAACTTATATGGTTTGAGCACAACACATCAAGTTTACAAAGGCACTGTTCAAGGCCTTGGGCTAGAGGCAGATTTAGTATTCAAGTAGATGCTCCCTGACATGTTACAGTCAGGGCTTTCTATTAAATAAACAAACCTTGTGATATAGTACTGTAATTAGAAAAAAAATTAGCCTTTTAAAGCCTCTTCTTTACCATTCATCAATGTAAAACTGATGAGATACAATAAAATGTATACCTCTGAAGAGATATATACCTGTACATTGAACATGATCCATGCTCATTGACCTTTAGTACAGGGGTCACCAATGATCAGACTTTCAGAGTGCACTTTTACATGCAAATTATTGTTTCCAAAATATGAAATATGAAGCAAGCAGAAGAAAATCACACAGCAAAGACCATTTAAACATGAGTAAATCCACAAATTCAAAACAACCCAGTCACAAATTTTAAAAATACAGTATCATTAAATACAGTACAGTATTACCAAAATTACATGATAAATATTTATAGTAAATAATTAAGTGCAGTACTGTATTAATATTTTGTCTGAATCAGTCTTGGATGGAGAAGCAAAACAGACACAAACCAAAGGATCGTTTTTTTTTTATAGCAACAGTTACAACCCACACAGGAGGAAGCTCTTTTACTGAAGTCAGTAGAGTAGCTTGACAAATCAAACACAAAGCATTGGTTCCAGCTTCCATATGATAATACAGTTAAAGCCCACACAGACCCACACTGGAGGAAGCTCTTGTACTGGTGTCAGTATAGTGGCTAATCAAAAATTAAAAAAAAACAATGGCTTCAGCCTTCAGATGGCCATAGAAAGACACAGGAAGAAACTCTTGCCTTCATGACAAAATGGAGACTTGATATCCCTCCACATCATTCTGAAGAAGCCGGAAAAAATCTTCTTGGTAAACTCAATTTGATCGGTAATTGTCCTACAAAATTCACATTATACAGGTAGATGAACCAGAGACCTGGCCCTAAATGATGGTACATTCCTAAATAATTTTGGTAAGATCAAACCGACACACAAGAATGATTTGTAAATTTGAGGTTGTCCAGTAAATAATTTTAAATAATAAAGAGAAGGATTATGTGAAGAAACAGCTTCTATTAGGGGAAAAACACAAAACCACACATACAATACAACCTTCACTATTGCATTACCAAGAATCAAGATGATTGAGGAAAATCTCACTATTAGAGAAAGTGTGAAAAATAACCAGGAGTAAGTTACGTCTTATTTTCTGTTGACAAACCCATCAAACACCCATCTTCATTTCTGTGATAAATGCCAATGTTATACTGTACTGTACTCTAAAACAAAACATGTTTATTATCTATATGATAAAAGATGATTTTTCAAAACTTATATGCTATCATATCTTTAACACTCAGCTGACTATTTTCTGTTCATACTTTTTCCTTGCTAACAACGAATATGTGTTACTACTGTACTGTTTAGGATTGTTCCTATCCTGCACAGCTTCCTTGAATGTTTCTCTATCACTTGATCCACCCATCACCAAAGTGTAAGAGAAGTGAAAAATGCTAGACAGATTAGCAGGTCTAGTGGGGTTTTTTTTTTTTGCAAAATGGTAAAGTCAGTAATTACAGCAGTGATAAGGAATAGAATTAACTAGATAGGAATAACTGTACTGTACAATATATGGCTTTGATGTACAATATAGTCTCGTTTTATGCGGATTTTTTTATACGTGGTTGGTCATTTACGCGGCACCTGCCCAGACACGCCAATTATTAGTTATGTGGTACATTCCTGAATTTACGCGGGAAGCGGCGCGGACAAGCTGCGTGCTAGGTCACTCTTATGTCACCGCTGAAGTCAGATGACGTTTCTGACTGTGATTGGGCCACGCATCCTTACCACCCACACACCCCCTCCGCCGAACGCTGTGATTGGTCTAATTAACCTTGCCTGCCCAGTCAACAAAACATTACCGAGTTCTTCACCCGCCACCCACCACAGCCAGCCCAAATCTGATAGTGATAGTGAGGATATGGACTTTGAGGGGTTTGACAAGGAGGCCCCGCTAGCCTCTGTGGTGGATAGTGATACTGGTGATACAGATGAGGGCCAATAATCTGCCCTCTGCCTCGGAACCAACCCCCCATCCCCGTGTGCCCAGCCATCTCTTCTACTAACGTAAGTGTTAAAAAAACCTAATATAATTGATATTTCTCTTATACATTAATTGTGTGTGCATACCATCATAAAATTAAGATGTTATTTTTACTACAACGTACGTACCTGTATTGTGTCGGAAAAAGGGTGGTCTGGGGGTCGGCCCAGTCTCTATTTCAATTAATACCATATGTTCTGTTATTTCGTTTACGCGTTTCGTGTTATACACGGACCTCCACGGGTTTACTTGAACGCATAAAACGAGACTATACTGTACTAAAAATCATAGTTGAAAGGGTATATGGATTCAATATGTGAATTCGACATAAGAGCTGTTTTATGAAAAGAGAAGTCTGAATATTGTTTTAATTCTGCTCTTGCAATTAGAAACAGCTACTGTAGGGATGAGGAAACTTGTCTTGCGGTTCTTGGTCTGTGCAAAGGTTGTGGTGTATATATGATTAAATGTACAAAATCTGTATATACAGTATAGTTCTCCCAACTACAATGAATCAATCACTGAATTAACTGTATACAGTACTTAAATTAAACAAAACCTGTATTATACCAATAGACATAAATCATTAATAAGTTTGGGATTACAGTGCATGAGTAAGAGAATAAATTCCTTCTACTCAAAGCCCACCAGAGACCATGCAATATATAAATACAATCTGAAATCAGTAAAGGAAGGAAAATAGAATCAATCTTACTTCTAGGGTTACACTGAACTGGTTAGATGTTTAAAGAATACATAAGCATTAACAAAGGTTCCATTATCACGACAAAATCATTCACAGCTTAGAATAGCAACCTGGTGACATTAGTATGTAGTTAGTTTGTATATTAGTAACTGCAAACAACTGAATTTCATTTTACAGACATGCTGTTATTTCCAACTGAAGAAATAGTACATGTACACTGCAAAGAAGCCATACATCTATACTGTAGTCCTTTAGGATTTAATAGTGACTGTTTATTATTTCTAGATATAAAGTTAATTAATCTTTGACAAATATCAAACAAAAAACTAGACTATAAATGGCATTCATATCATACCTCAGGTGAAATACATACACTGACTTTTTGATTATGTATTCAGAACTAAATATTTCAGTGTACTCACCTCACCTTCTTCCATACGTTTCTTGATATCCTCTAAGATAACTTGAATATGATTAAGAGTGTCAAGTAGTCCTTCAGTTTGACCAGCTTCCATGGCACGTAGAACTCCAGATAGGTGTGGAGCCAACTGTGCTACCATTTCATTATTTGGCTCCTTGGCCAACACTTCCTCAGCCAGTGCTTCAACTCGCAGGTAAGCGTCAGTCAAGAGTCCAGCTCCACCCTCTTTTCCATATTGTGACCAATCTTCTTCCTCTTCATCAACCTCTTCTTCACCTAATTTCCCCCCAGCAACTTCATCTTCATCTTCATCTTCATCATCATCATCATCATCATCATCATCTTTTAGGTCCTGTTCTTCATCTGATTCATCAGTATCATCTTCAGCTTCAGTTACCTCAATAGGTTCATCAACAGCAGGAGCAGCTTCCTCTTGTACCTCGACAGGAGCTTCTAAAGTTTCAACAACTTCAGCAGCAATTGGCTCTTCCACTACTGCCTCCTCTTCCTTAACTTCTTCTGCAGCAACAACTTCCTCCACATCGTCCACAACAGGTGAAGCTGCAATTACCACTTCTTCAACTTCCTTTTCAGTCACGGTCACGTCTTCAGTTACCTCTACAGGTGCAGATTCCTCAGTGGATGCAACTAATTCCTCTGCTGGTGTAGCTTCTTCAACTTGAGCAGTTTCCTCAACTGGAGCAGCTTCCTCAACTGCAACAGCTTCCTCAACTGGAGCAGTTTCCTCAACTGGAGCAGCTTCCTCAACTGCAACAGCTTCCTCAACTGGTGCAGCTTCTTCCTCTACTGGAGCAGCTTCCTCAACTGGAGCAGTTTCCTCAACTGGTGCAGCATCTTCAGTGGGAGCATCTTCTTCAACTTCCTCCACTATATTTACAATTTCAACAACTTCTTCAACTGGAGTCACTTCCTCTACCACCTCCACAATTTCAACAGCCTCTTCAATGGGGGTCACTTCCTCTATCACCTGTACAACCTCAACAACTTCCACAACTGGAGATGATTCTTGTGGGACCTCAGGAGCTTCAAGAATTTCTTCAGCAGGTGCTGTCTCCTCCTCAATAGTAGCACCATCATCAACTTCTACAAAAGTATCTTCAGGTTCAGCCACTTCTGGCACTAATTCCTCTTCAACCTCTTTCTCTTCTACAGGTGGAATTTCCTCTTTGGTTTCTTGAACTACTTGAACATATTCCTCAAGAGGAGGTGTTGCCTCAATAGGTTCATATTCTTCTTCTACGTCTTGGTGTGATAAAGGTGGTGCCTCTGGAATTACTTCCTCATCCATGTGTATGCTCTGTAAATACAAATTTTGAATAAGTAAACAAAATTAACTGCTCTAATTCACTAATCCATCTTTAGTTTAAAGCAAATTAGGATGATTCAATCCAAATACTTCAGTTACAACAAGCAGTAGTTTAATACATTTGCAAACTTCTTTATTAGTTAACCTATTGTCAACACCGAGATTTAATCTAGAATTTCCACTTTCCGAAAAAATTATATCTTCACGTAACTGGCACATTTTTATCAACTAGCAGTCTAGTCTTTGATCTATTATGGTACAGCTGTACGGTATTTTGATTCATTAATTTATACAGATATTTCAATTTCATATTTTATAATATGGTGTAGAGAAGTATTACCACGAAAAGAAGTCAAACATAAGACAGTACAGTACTGTGTCAGTCAGAGATCAACACTACAGTAGTTCAATCTGTTCTTGAGATATCCCACTTGCAGCTCACATACACTAAGAGCATTTTATATTCCACTCCTGCTGTTTGGTGTTTTACATCAGAAGCGAATGATAGGATTCTTTTCGTCTATCTAAATTTATTGAACATTTCAATTCTAACAAACAGGATGAGACATACAGACCATACCTCTGGCATTAAGGGTAAACATTAGTGTTTGGGTTGACTTTTGTTTGACAGCATAAAAATATTCATTAGCAAAAAATTATATATCCATAATACTTCCCCTAAGATATTACCGTACTTGCCCCAACTTTTACAAGCCTCTACTCACTATATTGCCCAGTGGTTAAACCAACAGCAAACCCGGGATTTTTTTAAGAAAATGAATCTCTACAATATAAACACAGTTCCTGGCAACAGTGAGACCTATAATAAGAGTATCATCAACAAAAGTATTAAGCTATTAATAAGCACTCTCTCTCTCTCTCTCTCTCTATATATATACAGTTAACCCTCACTTTACGCGGTCCCACATTCCGCGTTTCCACGTTTACGCGGTGCCCTGCCGGAACCCAGAATGCTCACATTCCGCGGTGCGTGTACCCCTTTACGCGGAGAGCGGCTGGCGAGCCGCGCCATTTTTGGATCCAAACCTCCCGCCATCCGCCATGTTGTGTAAGCGGCGTGAACATGGTGCGCACAAGGTCGCCCAGTCATAAAAACATTACCAGTTCTTCACCCGCCACCCACCACAGCCAGCCCAAGTCAGTGATAGTGATAATATGGACTTTGAGGGGTTTGCCAAAGAGGCCCTGCAAGCCTCTGTGGTGGATAGTAATACAGGTGATACAAGTGATACAGGTGAGGGCCAATAATCTGCCCTCTGCCTCGGAACGAACCCCCCATCCCCGAGTGCCCAGCCATCTCTTCTATAACGTAAGTGTTAAAAAACCTAATATTATTGATATTTCTCTTAAATATTAATTGTGTGTGCATACCATCATAAAATTAAGATGTTATTTTTACTACAACGTATGTATTGTATCGGAAAAAGGGTAGTCTGGCGGTCGGCCCAGTCTCTATTTCAATTAATCCCATATGTTCTGTTATTTCGTTTACACGTTTCTCGTTTTACGCGGACCTCCACGGGTTTAATTGACCGCGTGAACCAAGACTATACTGTACTGTACTGGACACTATATACACAAATATTCTACAGCTGAAATTTGTTTTAATTATTTCATCAACCAAAAAACACAAGCAAAGAAAAATAATTATGAGCAACAAAACTCCAAATGACTTCAAAGCACAGCCAAATTAGTGGTTTGTCCATGAAATCGTGGTTAACTCGTGTAATTGTGGAAAATGGTAGTAAAACGCCGACCATGATAATGATAAACAACAATTAAAAAAAAAGTATCCAGATGATTTTAAAGTAGTACAGCATTCGGTATGACAAAAGTTAAGATGTATTCAGGAAATATGACAGTCCTATACAGATTATGATATATGGTGGGCCTTTGAGCAATATGATACAGTACATGTCACACCAACACAAGGTAAGATACAAGGTGATACATGATAGGCCAACACAAGGTATGATACAAGATGATACATGATAGACCAACACAAGGTATGATACACGTTAAGCTTATGAGAAACAAAAATCAGTTACCGGTGTGGGTATTTCTGGTGCGGCAAATTCCTCCTCTTTCACCTCATCTTCTGCTTCGTGTACTACTGACACCGTTTCCTCCATACCCGCTGCAAAGTATAAAATGGAGTAAATTTTCATGTTTCTTTAGTTTGGGATACCCTTTACTTTCCACTGACTTTTGGTGAACTACTGCCTAAATTGGTTAAGTGTTTTGAGAATATTTTGTGTACCATGTGTTCTGAATTTCTAGAGTTACCTAGAGACTGGTGGAGGGAATAAAATAAAAAATATCCATGACCGAGAACAAAGAAAGAGTGGTCTTGCTGAAAGATGAAATGTGGAGCTGTGTGACAGAACACTAGGGTCTCACTTGCTAAATATTACAAATCAAATTAAAAGTTATAAGAGAGAATAGATTATACTCAGTATATATGTACAAAATCAGGAAATGACTGGAGTAAAGCATAAAGAGAGATGTCCTGAGACGGCCTTAATAAATGCATTGAATGCTTTCATATAAGCGAATATTGTACAGTAATGTGGGAACTTAAATGCAAGAGATGGTGAATGCAAAGTGGAGAGGATTGTGGGGGAAATTTGTGAGTGCAGAGAATAAATGGAAATGGAAAGAAACTCATATAAAATTGTGCTGAAAGAAGACTGATAGCGGAGAATATACTGCACTTGGTTCAAAAGGTGGGAGAAGGGAAAGTTGGAAACAATAGACGATTGATGGACAGATGAATGAAATGCAAGCGGACTGATGTGAATGTACAGTATTTTAAGATATGAAGTATCTGACCATTACTTAGTAGAAGTATAAAACCAGGTAGTACTGAGTGAAAGATGAAGGCAGAAAGAGACTCAAAAGATGAGGCTGGGAAAGTCAATGATAATGAGGCAAGAAAAGTCGATGAATGAGAAAAAAGAATACAATACAACTGAAAAACTAAAGAAATCTGTGAGACACAATGGGCATATGTATTGGGGTTGGGTTGAATAAGATGGGAAACAATTCAAGGATACAGTATAGTCACAGCATGAACAATTATAGTTTAATAGGTTTATTGAGTATATCAGGGAAAATGTATGGTACAGTATAATAGTTATTACTGATATATGCTAAACAGTATGTATAAAAAAAGCACAACAGAGGAGGAAGATGCATGGCTCCAGCTTCTGTGTTAAATACTGTAGCTATGTGAAATGTTTCTTGAGTTGGAAAATATGTATATAAGATAAAGGAAATTTTTTTTCTTAAATTCTATCCAGAGTTTTTAAATGGCAGTGATGTTAAGTAATAAGAATCTTCATGTTAGTTAATTTCAAATAACTGTAGTGTTTTAGGCTTGAATTTAATAAACTGATGATTTTTTTGCCATTGAAGTGTACTGTATTATATTTTGTCACCAGTTGATGGACTTACAAAAATCCAAAATGTTGAGGTAAAAAACAAGAGATAAAAGAGAATTCCATACACTACACCAGGAACTTAAAAGAAACAGTTAACAAAATAAAAAGAATGAGCAATAAAACAGTTCAACTAATCTATCAACAAAAATAATGTAGCTACCATGTACTACCATTTCAGACTTCAACTATGCTAAACATTATAAAACAAATAGACTTGCACAATGACTAACTGTCGCATCTATGAACTAAGCAAACAAAGTTAATTGCTAATGAGACTTGCATATTCAATTGCTCTACCAATTTCATACACACACACCAACATGAAACAATATTCAATTAATGCTTTGGTATACCTGTACTGTACAGTTAAACCAATAGAACTCAATCACAATTCTAACCATCTCTTACTATATCTACCATATTCCTCCTCCTTTCACTTTCATAAGAACTGTTCTAAATTCTTCATTTCTAATTCTTTTTGTGTTCATACCACTTAAATGACTGTTCAACCAGGCTAAATAGTCACAATTAATTATGATAGATTCACTTTTGTACCGCACCATCACCAATTCATGGACAATTTCCATGCATGTGTGGGTTAGCCATGATTATCTGATGGCATGGTTGCTTTAAGCCACACTTGAAGCATGTTTTATGGCTAGATGCCCTTTAATCGCCAATCCACTTTTATATAGTGGTAACTAGGCATTATATGTAAAACTATCAAGCACCATAATACAAAACATTCTATAACCCAAAAAGTTTCAGCAATAGCTACTATACAATAGGATTTAATGTGTACTCATCTCTCTGTCAATCAGTAAATCTACATCTCCAAAGTTTTATGTGTTTTGGGAAGCATCAAGGTCTTCCATCTAAACATACCTTCCAAATATGCTCAACTCCCCCCTAACATCTTAACAAGCTCTTTCCACATGTGCTCCTCCAATTTCCCCTACGAGGATGCTGGATGCCTACCTTTCACTCTTTCCTCACTCCAACATTAATCATCTACTTCAACCAAAACCATTTAAAGAAACTTTTCCCAACCTACTCCTTGACCCACACTTTCTCTGCCATCCCCATAGTCTATCTCATCTGAATCCCATACATCCAAATTGCCTTGCCATGATCTAGTACTGTACTGTACACTCTCCTGGTCAGTGATACATCACTATTTAGGGCTAGATCTATGTTACCTTTTAGGAGGACCTTAATAACACTACAGTATCCTCTTTCACTTAATTAGTACATTCAATGTAAATGAACAATTAGGGAACAAACACTAATTCACTGACTTAGTGTAAGGACTAAACAGGGCTTGAGTACAAATGCTGAGGTTGTGTGTTACACTCAACAGAACCAATTGGACATAACACAGTTATGCTACTTACATTCTCAAGAGCCAATTTGCTTTGTATAACAAAGGAGACAATAAACATAAAATAAATTAAATATGCAAAAAAATAAAATACTGTAAAGATAAATTATATGTAGCACTTAAACAGTAAATTATAATACAACAGTTATGTCAGTGCATATGAAGCAAAATAAAATCAGGCCAAAAAATAGTGTTAGTGGGTGTTTAACAATACTTTTTTGAGTCAGTAATGGTGAATTATTCTCAACTGGGTAAACAATTGAATAACTTCACAACAATCAAAATAATTATTAACTACAACACTGTACTATTAATGAATTCAAAGCCACCACCCAGGTTAGCATTCCACCATATTATAACAAATTGTAGAGTACCTTAATAACTTCACTACAATCACACACAGGTTACTACAGGTGTTATTCTAATAAAGGTAGTAAATTAGTTGACGGGTTTAAATCGATAAATAATACAGTGTGCTCAATAAGTAACTGATATTTTTCCAATTTTGATAATGACTTTGATTAAAGTATTTTGAGTCAACTCTTACCAGAGGCTTCTCCCTCTCATCCTTCATATTCTTTTATATTAGCTTTAAATACAATACTGTAGTGTGTTATAGCAGCAAACACTCCATGCCCTACCCTGCTTGCCTCGAAGTTCAACCAATATTAGAGCGACGACCACCGACAATGAGACGAGAAGAATCAGGAATATTATCTTGGCCACAACCCCACTACTGTCACCATTGGTAGTGGAATGGCCCTTGCCGGTATTATTAGCCATCGCCTTGCCCTTAGTTTCTGCAACATCATCATCGACTTCATCTGCAAGGGACATAAAAATTAAGTGATATTAATTCATAAGAGCATCACAACCACCACCTAGATCTAAATACAGTACCTGTACACACGTCAAGTACGACATGTGCAAGTACAGTACAGTATATAATAGGGATAAATAACACATACGGTATAGCAGTTTCATTAAAAAATATAAAAGTACTGTACTGTAACCAAGTGACACACAGTGGACATTTAATTTTGTGACCCCTTGAATCTCAAATAGAAACTCACTTAGTACTGTACAGCAAACTACCATACTTTAACAGTCAATTTGAAAAGTCACAAGTATAAATTCCGGAAAATGCTATTTTTTTTATCAAGGTTGCAGGATAATTTTTTCAATGCTATTACAGTACTTTTCAACATAAGATACTGTACTCACATCTGAAGGCAACATAATGTTCACGTCTTTCATAAGAAATCAAACATGAAAACTGTCAATAGGTGCTCACTAAACACCAACACTATTAACTGTAACCTTTAATCTATGACATTCAAATGTTAATATACAGGATACTGAAACCTCACTTTATGGTTGAATCTGTAAGTAGGTGACTTGCACAATGTACTCCCGAGCCCATGGGGGACCACCAAGGAGACCCTTTGACATTGAAGGCTGGGAGTACAGTACTATAATTCATTAATACTGTATGTAGTTACATCTTCCCCTCACAGAGAAGCTCCTAGTCATGATGTTACACTATCATGCATACATCTCATCTGTCTACACTACAGAGGTCAGTCATAGTGAAGTTTCAAGCACCAGTTAAATCAATTCCAGATGATTTTCACCCTACCCACTTTTGTACACAAGAATTTTGAGGTATGACCTATGACCTTTTCAGATGACCGAGAACCTTCAAAACTTAATTGGTCTATAGATTCGTGACAAATTTATAGAGTAAATACTTGTTCAGTATATTTACTACCCGATCTACAATATGGTCTTCAGATATCTTGTACACTTTTTTTTTAGTGTGACCTGTGACCTCTGACCTGTATCTTCAAATGTTAAATTGGTCTAAAGCTTTTTATATAGTTTGATGTGTATGTAAAGTGAGTATCAAACAATCCAGTCCCGAGATAACTTGTATAGTATATGGTTTTTTAAATACTGTATGCATGACTTCTGTCCTTTCCATCTGACCTATGACTCCCAATATCTAATCATAACTAGAACTCTATGTCTAGTGTCTGTTACAAAAGTGTGGAGTACAATATGTTCACCTATCCAATCTTGAGATATTCAGGGGCGGAACCAGGGGGGTTCCTGGGGGTCCGGACCCCCCCCCCCTTTCATCAGAAAATTCCAGTACGTTTTCTTTAATGCAGTATGGTACTCGGGCGTTTTTGTATTGTAGAAAGTAATTACTATTGGCCTCAACATATCTCCTTATATCAAGTGCACATGGCCTCAAAATGCCCATGATATTAATCAGATTTCAAAGCATTTTTCTGAGGTGGCTTACAGCGCCCCCCAAAACACCCCTCCCCCCAGCTGGGTGGGCTCGCTATGCTCGCCATGTTCCCCCATCCACCACTTCTTGGACCCCCCTTTTGATATTCCTGGATCCACCCCTGATATCATATACAGAAGATGCAAGACAAGCAGAAAAAAATATAACAAACAGAAGCAAGTGTTGTATCCCCTATAGTCTATAGCAGGGTCATATAATAAGGATGGCCAAGAAAAAGATCAGAATCTCCCTCCGTATTATAGGGCAATTAGCGTAAACTCAAGACAGTGTGAGCCGAGAAAGGTAAAACTTTCTCTCAGTGAGATGATCAGTTAATCAGGTTTTTTAATAAACAGGGCTAGCTGAAAATGCATATATAATTACTATAGCATCATTAAAGAAGATTACAGTATACTGTATAATGGAAAATAGTCATCAGTCCAAAATTAACAAGTAAACATTTAAATGTTCATCAAACCATCAGAACTTGCTTCTTGACCATTGACGTTGACCTAATTGTGTACACGCCTTCCAACACACACATTAAACCATTCACACACACACCATTGGTACATACTGATACATACAACAGCATTTCACTATAATCATGATTTTTTTTCTTGTTGCTAGTAAACAAGCAAGAATAGATTACAGCTGTTACTTAGCAACACAAAACCATGCTACTCTCTCCCAAGATTCCCCGCGCTGATAAAACCCGTTCCCATGGTTAACCATGGAGGAACGCCCGTGTCTGACACCGGGTTGTTTCTGATCGTTTGGTTGAAATTAATACTTGGCATTTCATATTGGAGCATCACAGACTTTCATCAGCATGGTATGTTTTCTTGGAAGGTTCAGAGGCGTCATAGGAAGTCGAAAATGGATCTCTGTATGTGCGTGTACTGTGCGTACTTGTAGTGCTACGGTGCAAGCTTTCCTCTGGCACGAGGAAGCCGTGGATTTCTCTTGGCCTAGTTACCAACTACAGCCATAATGAGGGTCTAGTTTGATCCGTCCTCGGTGATAACTGATAACTGTACGAAAATATTCAGAATGATTTTAATTTCATTTTTGCAGGTTAATCACCTTAGTGCGTAGCATTAGTAATTACTGTATTCAGTCAGTACAGCTTCATTATAAGCATTACTTCCTGTTCAACCGTCTTCTACAACACTAAGGTTTAGGCAGCACTTAACGTTACACAATACATCACACCCTCGAACTTTTGTCCTTTACCCAGGTAGTAAACTCAGAGTAAGATAATGAAATACGAGAAACTAAACTGTCTGCCGTTTACACCCCCCCCCCCAATTTATCACCATTACAATAAAATGTACGAGTCAGGAAAATAACAGTAAAAGCATTGTAGTGTTTGATTTCATTTATCAATAATAAATAATTATAAATAAAAAATAGATTTATTAACTTGCAGACGTCGCATATAGTACTTTCACTGCTGTCGTGTGGTACAAGGTCTGTAGAGACCTTGGTGAGGGGCGTTTACGCTTTCTATGGGTAGCTGGGTGTATAGTGACTCAAGTCACTATACACCCAGCTTATCAATTCTCATGTAGAGAACCAAATACGCAATGTGCTTGAATACCTCTCACGTAAATGTGAATAACAAAGTGTGAGGCCAGACTTACTGCCTCACACGCCTGTACTCACGCATTTGTGAATAAGTTACCCTTTATGTATAGAACTGAACAAATAATGTAAATGAAATACTGTGTAACATTCAGTGCCATAATATCCTGACAACGGGGGTTAATTATTATGACCCTTTGTAAACCCTACTCTAATCCTTTTGCGCTACCGCTCACTGGATGAGTGTGGGGTGCACAATAAAGTAGCCGCTGCAAGCGGCAAAATCAAAATCAAAATCAAGCAGCCTATTCCCCTTCACTAAAACAACACAAATTAGGAATCTCAAAATGCAACTTCTTAATAAAATTATGCAAATATTCGTTTGAAATTTCCCCATTCAATATGAAGGATTGGTTCCCATATGCAAATAACACCGGGAAATATTTGTTAAGAATAAATTAAATTAACACATTTTGTAAAATACTGGCAATAGTATTTGTGCAAAGGCGAGAAAAATGTCCCTCACACTGTGAACAGTCTTTGAATGTTAAAACTCCTGGTATAGTAAATCCAGACTAACGTTAATACTGTTAACTCTTACGAATACAAACATTAGCAGGCTGAGGGTGGGGGAGAGGGGAGGCTGGGAGAAGCGGGGCGGCGTGGGGCAGGGTGAGGTATGGTGGGTGGGTGTAGACGTGGAAGGGTGTGGTGAGACAGGTTGTTGCGAAGGCCATTGACGTTAGCGACAAGTTCAGCTGAGGCCATCATACCCTATTAAGAACTACGCGGTCTTGGCCTCTGAATTATCTGAACAGGACAGATGATCTGGGTGTGAAAAGTTATCCAAATGTTAAAATTTCCTTCAACAAGGCCCAATTATGTTCTTCCAAAATCACCCAAGAAAACTATAAATATTTAAAACTACTGAAATCATTATATATTTATCTAAACTATTCTACACAATTTTATCTCGTCTACAAATTCATGACAGCTGACAGAATACAGATAAACTGATGTAAAGGTGGACGTGAGTGCGATTGTAAGTCATTAGTAATAATCGGTTGTTGTTAACCTGCTAGATAGGAGAAATACAATAAAAAAAAGCAAACGAAGCAAATGAAACAGATAATAAGGACGGCAGTCAGACGCCGCGTCGTGCCTGTAGTCACAGGGCCGGGGCCGGACACTCATCCACTCCCAGGCGACTGGTTAACTCAAACAATATTTACATAACGCTCTCACCAAGTTACCACGTCACAAAAACCACCCCGTACACCTGCTGACACCCCTGGCGCTTTCTCAGTCAAGTAACCCTAAAGAGACTGAACACGATCATCAGACACCGGGATTCCTCGAGACACGCTAGTGGCTAGCCAGTTACATAACGAACACGTTGTGCTAGACGCCACGCAGCAGCTGACGAACAGGATTCACCCCTCCCCCCCCACCGCCGATACCACCTACAATCCACCACTTTCTGATAAGTCCTCGCTATCTTTACGTATCCCTCCCTCCCTTACCAATGCCTAGTATTATATAATAACACTTGACATGTTTTACCTCGTTATCACCAACCTCTCGAGCTGTCTGGTGAAAAACAGGTGTTAAGATGTCGTCCCATTACTGCATTACTGTTGGAAACCTTAGCAAAATAATTCAGAACGTACACGAAATTTATAAGGTTTTACAGGAAGACATATGTAATCATTCGGATATTAGGTATTAACACTCGCGCTGTATACAAAAGTATTGTCTCATTCTGAAAAAAACATGGTTGCAAAACAATTGGTCCTGAATGCTTGAAAAAAAAAACTTAATGGATTCATGGACGGAAAATGAAAAGCTTAATGCGCCATCACCGGTTCCTCATCAGTAGGAGTGTTTGTAATTAACATTCAATATTTAGACACTTGGTGGGTTTTAAAGAGATGATTT